TGCGTTAGTTTATTACGCGTACTACCACTACCTTCCTTGGCACTACCTTAGTTATACGAGTAGTACTGAAATTAGTTGTCATGAAAACGAAGTATTGCGTTCTATCCATGCTGTCTTTCCATAAAGACACTTTTAGATCCGGTGCTCTACACAATACTTATATTTCAGCTTTATACAATATATACAGATAACAAGAGTAAAACAACATGATCAACAGAACCATACTTCCAAACAAACTATGTTCAATCGGAGAATTACTGTCAACAACTCCATTTTATCAAAACTGTAATTAAAAAATACGACTTTATAGATTATGTGGGGGTTTATGAACTGTCACATATATTTTGACTTATTTTTGAAAACCCACATAAGTGCCAAGGACTATAATAATGTATAAAGTATTTAGGTGTAGTTTTCAATAAACGCTTCCCTATGGCTTGAAGCAAAGTTAACATTACCAGTTCGATAGTGTTTTCTTCAGTTATATCTGGATCTACAACAGCAATTGCATATTTTTGTAAAGTACATAAAAATAATGTTTAATCCATAATACAGTTTTTATATAAATTCTCATATACTTTTTGTGCAATTGTTTAGGTTCTGTCTTAAACCGTAATTGCTGGAAGACGAGATTAGATTAAAGTATATCCGCTCATACTTAGACCAAAGTGATATCGTTTGTGATTTCACGGAACTTCTAATTAAAATGCATCTTGCATCAGTTGCCGGCATATCTACCATATAAATCTATTATTACTAAGGTGATTTAATAAATTTTTTGGGAATCTAAGACACAATTTTTTAGTAGTATATTATTCGTTCAGAATAACCTTGTGCATGGTATTTCTATAAATGAGAAGTTCACAATTTGAAAGAAATGGGAACTTTTTAAGTTCATACAGGGTCGTCTATACAGCAGTTTCCTGTAATATCCATAATACCAAAGTCCTCGATAAGGTAAGTGTGGTTTTCTTCGTATAGTTGGAAGCGTCTTAATTTAATCTGATTATTATAAAGATTATTATAATAAGTTAGCGTTCACTTTTTCTACACAGCCATACTTGAATGTGTTAATGAGAAGTATCATAGCTCAAGTGATATTCAATTCAATATTGGTTGCAATTAAAAACGGTTGTGTGTGCGTTTTTAAGTGGATTAATCGTATCATTGTTTCAGTATCGGTTTTATTTACTATCTACAATAACGACTAAATTTATTAAGTCATATTAAGGTACAAACTAAAGGTTGACAAATTTGAGTTATCTATATTTACTAGCAAATAGTAAAAATCATTTTACTTTAACACGTTAAAGACCGCATGCTCCATCAGTGGGTTACTCCGTAATAACATTACCGGCCCGCGTACTCACGGGTGGGTACACGACATATTTTACCTGGGGACCGCTTGTACAACTGTTTGCGTGATTAATATTCAATTTATGTATAGTACTCCATTCGCCGGTTCCTCGGAGAGATACTGCATATAGCGGAATTAGTTAATTTGCCATAACCTCATTTTAAAACGATTTTATTTAATCAAATCAATATTCGTAATTAACAATAAAAAAAATGCCGCTCCCTATGTGTGAAATAAGATTTTTCAATGCGGTCTTGAACGTGTTAAGTAAAGGTCCTGCTAGAAAACTTGAGAAAATTTTATAGAAGGTGTAATATAATTTACTACCTTTTTTAAAATATGTGCTGTGTCCAAATTGTCCCGATTCAGAAACATTCAATCATCCCTTTAAGTTATCAAGTAATACATAAATATTCATGCTAATTTTATATGAATATAAAATGAAAGTACTAAACCGATTTATGAAAAAATGTAAGAAAAACTAATGAAAAATAAAATGTCACGTAGGCCCTGCCACTTGTGGACCTAATAATGCACATGGGAGATATTACGTCTTAGAGCAAAGTAAAGAGTGAAGAAAGCAACTAAAAGTAAATGTAAATTTTCATATGATTTTGGCTTTTTTATCAGACTTTTCAATTTTATATATTTTTTTGAAAACTGTTTTCATATATTATAATTTTCATTGCTTTTTTTCTTATTTAGCATAGTCATAGCATTCTTTAAGTATTGCATAAAATGAATAAACTTCATGGAAACTTTACATTGCGACATACAAATTCATAAAACTTAATTTTCAAAGCCTGTTCGCCAGCACTGACTATACTCGTATAATCGCAGAAAAAGGCAAACCTTAACTTGGCAAAGCAGACCAAAAGTTTTGTCACGTTGGTGCAAAATTCGCAAAAGGATTGAATTTCATTTACTCTTGTCTAGAAAAACACATAATGGCATAAGAGTTTATAGGTATTACGTCTACGTCTGGATGTATCACTTTTGCGTTTACATAAACAAAATAAAACTATAGTGGCAGTCACGTTGCAAAATCATAACATTTTATATTATTTAGGTAGAAGAGAACAAACAAACAAACAAAAAAGTAGGAGTAGTAAATCGTAATAGGAAAAAAATCTAAATATAAATTGAGTAAACATTAAACGACTTTTTTAATTACTATTTTAATCTTTTGCTATTTATAAATTATTATATATTATAATTACATTCATAATATGGAGTAGTCCTATATGAAGCAATACATATAATGGATTCGCTCATACAGCATTAGCAACAAAAATACAATAGCATAATATATACTAAATAGTCTGAATAATCAATCAAACTATTGTACTAAATACTAAATAAAAGTTTCACAAACATCTTCCCGAAGATCCACCCGATCATTGAAGTATTCCTACACACAGCTATAATCGGTTTCAATATAATCGAACACACAATTCTATTTTAGGATATTCTAAACATAACCTTAAAATACCAAATAAATGGTTAGCAACTTATGTAAAATGCAGTAAAGTAACATGAGTGTCACCAAAAGTGTAATGGGCGAATAGAAAGATGAATAGATGACAGATAGAAACATAGAGATAAATAGAGATAGATGGAGAGAAAAGAGAGAAAGATATAAGGAGGATGGAAAATAGAAAGAGATTGAAAAATAGAATGTAAGATAAAAAGTAAAAACAACAGACAGAAACAGAAAGAAAGAGAGAGAGAATAAGATAGAAGCAGATAGAAAGAGATAAAGATAGATAGAGAGAGATAAAGATAGATAGAGAGAGATAAAGATAGATAGAGAGAGATAAAGATAGATAGAGAGAGATAAAGATAGATAGAGAGAGATAAAGATAGAGTGGCAGTGAGAGAGAGAAGTATACAGTGATAGAGAGAACGGAGAGGCTTTTCTCAAAGAATTTGTTAATTAATTTTAGTAAAAAAAAAAAAATAGTAACGTAACAACAAAGTACATTGTTAAACCGGTTTCGGCTATTTTTTTTGGAACTGGTTCTTTACAGCAACAACAAAATCCTTTATTAACAAAAGAGATGGAACCACTTATCAAAACTATTCTCTATATAACTAGTCTCAAAATTGCAAAATATCGCCGCTACTTTATCAGATCACCGCAACCGTATTTAACTAATATGAGTAGTTTGATAACAAAGAATAAGAACGGAAAAGAATATTACTGACCAACTATTGTGGTCAATTGAAAAAAAAAATTCTTTTACTTTACTGAAACTTCAATAATCAGATACTTGTATTCTATACTATTTTAAATAAATTTTTTCCATTTCAACGTAAAATTTTATATATCGCAAATTACAAGCATGGGAAACTAATTTTTCCATTCGTAAACTTGATTTAGTCTTTCTGTCTACAGTTTAATTCTAATGGCTCCTCTATTTATCAAGTTAAATGCGGTTTAACGAACATACAAACATAACTGATCTAATTAGTCTCGCAGGAATGAACAAAAAAAAAAATATTTTTAAACAAACTTTTGGATCTCCGATTTTACTTCCAATACTTACAAACTACTACAACTTTAATAAATAATATACGCCTTATCCTTAATAAAGTGCTGGATATTAAAGTATATTTCATATTAAGATTAATTTAATTCTGGCAACAAATTTCTACAACTTTAATAAAAAATATATTCCTAATTCTAAATAAAAGTTATCATATTTAAATTAATTTAAATTATTATTTATAATTTAAATTTACATGTCTGTTCTGACGACTATCTTTCTGCGCATCACAGTCAAAAATCTTTGGGAAGTTGTTTTGTATTCTGGCAGCTGTCTTAAAAACTCTATTTTGTCTTTTAAAAGACGAAATAAAAGATGTGCTATTGAACACATCTTATGATTGTCAGTTAATATTTTGTTTGTGTTTTCCGACTAAAGTTTTCTATAAATAAATTTTAAAACAAAACAAATTTTCAGTATACAAAATAAACTAATAATTAAAATAAAAGTTATTAATTAATTAAAATTTGTGGAAATGGAACAAATATATTTAACTTCGTTTTTAATACAGCGCAAATTTAAAAAAATATATTTTATGTATTTATGTTTAATATATGTATATGTTTTTATATATATTTAAATATTAATATTTATTTAATTTCTATTTATTTATATATATTTAAGCTATGATTTTAGAACTAATTAATTTTTTTTTTGCCACTGCTGTACTTAATGCAGGAATTAAATGCATTAAATAATTATTTATTTATAAATATTAATAATTATGCATATAATTTGCAGCTTTTCATCACATTCGTATTCACATAAAATTCTTAATTAGATAAAGAAGTGATTAACAGCTGTTACTTTATCTTGATTTCCCTATGAAAGTGAATTACAAATTATAACATTTTTTCTAAAAGACTTTTGAACCGGAATACCAAAAATCTTCCAAACTGTCTTTCGTTATATTTTTCAAGCATTTGTCAACAAAAATTTAAATACTTATATCAGAATTGCACCGTTAATTATGCATACAAAACCATTTTATCATATTAATGTATGTACATGTAATATAATGCACATATAAAGAATATAATTCTCATTCGCTTTAGCGTTGTGCTGATTTATAATACTAGCTTTGGCTATATTTGGTCTTCCTTGTCATGGGGAGCGTAATACTCAATGAACGTTTAGTGAGAGTATTTATGCTGGCACCATTGAATAACTACCCCGTGCAATGCAATCCTTCTTTGTAAGTTTGCATCTGTTCGGAATTTTTGGAAAGCCCTCTTACTTTATAGGGGGCGCAAAAATAAATAAAATTCAAAGTAAAACTAGTAATTCAAGTTGCTAGTGTGCAAGATACCATATTTGTTCTACAAATAGATTAAATTGCAAATTAATTCGCATTCAACGTGACTTCAAATGAATTCAATTACTTTTTGATTTTTTTATACATTAATTCTTTTGTTCTTAATTTTTCTTTTCGACAATGCATCTAAATTAGCGCTCACATACATTTTTCAAAACAAAGAGGGGGTAAAAAAGTAAATTAAATTAGTTCAGTTTAGCCGATACGACGATAGCAAAATTTTTACGTAATTGGAAACTGGACAATTTTTCGTTTATGCGATATAAGCACATATAACTTCCATAAAAAACTATCTCATATATTGTATTGGAGTTTATTAGATAAACCACATACATACATACATATTTTGTAATTTTTTGTGTCAGTAGCAGTGCGTTGATTTTTAATTAGTTTATACTAAATAATGTTTGCGAATAGAATTTGAACGTAAAGGCTATAATTTTCACAGCTGCATTCCCATAATTATTTACTTTTAACAAAAAATTTTTAATAAATAAGAGAATTGTAAACAACGTTCAGTTCATACTTTATTAGCAAGTCACGTATTTAAACAAAATCATATAAATTACGAAATATATGCTAAACGATGAATTTAAATTACTTAAATATATTTTAAAAAATAAAATCAAAGACATATGCTAAAAATAAAATTTGTTATAAGACATATGAAGTATCTTAATAAATTGCATTCATATCAGTTACGAACTAAGCCCCTTAACTTCACTAAAAAACTAAAAAAAGTGATTAAAATAATCAAATATAAAAACGCCAGTCAATAATTTAACAAACAATTTCTATAAAAAAAGTCTGTATGAAAATGTTCAATGTTTAAAAATATGTTTCTATTAAAGTAGCTCTGCTAAAATTTGAATATATTTATAATTAGAAATACTTATATACACAGCATGTTTCCTAAGAAAATAACAAAATTACATAAATGTAGATTCAAGTGAATGCTCCATTTTCAAAAATTACCAAAATACATGGTATCAAAGTAAAGTCTACCCAAAAAAATCTCAATAACGACTAATTCAAATAGATTAACTATAATATGTTATTACATTATTATATATTGTAATACTAAATAGTCAACATATTTAAACAGTAACGTAATATTCAACAAAAAGTGATTGAGGTCGTGTGCGAGTTCGAGTAAATTGATGGTAAATTGGAGGAAATAGTAAATTATGTCGCTATGGCAGTGAATGTTGATACTTACCTGAATTAAATAAGATAAGAATTAGGTAAATTAGGTGTTACCATTGTGAAAATTGTATAAGATGTTTAACAAATAAATAAATAAATTTGAAAACTTTTGACCAAAAATCATAAATAAGTGCAATAAATAAATAAATAAATATTTACATAAGTGCAGTGCAAAAAATCCCTATAAAATTTGAATTTACTTTATCTCAATTTACACGAACTCGCACACGGCCTGAATAGCACAAAAAGTTAAACAATATATACTACCAGCACTGATAACAAAAATTTTACCATACAAATACTTTTTCCACACGTCATCGTACTTTATTGTATCCGAACTATCTTAATTACTTATGGTCATTAGAATTACAATGTTAAATGGAAATAAATGATATTTTTGTGTATAATATAAATGATATATTTTTATAACTAATTTTGGCTAATAAAAATATATACTTTTGAGCTCGGTTATCAAAACCTAGGCGGTAGATATCAAAAAAATTAGCTAAATGACAAACAAGGTGGATCTTAAAAAAACCTAACGAAATATAATAGAATGCATCTGTTTCAAACCATGTATAAAAGTAGCAAAGTGTACTTAATAACTAATTATTATGTCGCAACAAACCGAGAGATAGAACTCTATAAGATTGCTAAATAAACACTCTGAAAACGAGTAAATACAGGACACTATCTCCCCGAGTTAAAACTTTAAACAAAAACGTTCGTTAGTTGAATACTGTGGTCGTAAAGATACAAATTTAGAAAAAAATATGCGGCTCTTAAGTTAATCGGTTTTGCAATTGGGTCCCCCTTTCATCAATTTTTACAAATAAGCAGTATTTATTCCCAAGCACTATTTGACTATTTTCATCACATTTGTAAAGGTTGAAAACTGTTTCAGTTACATGTTTTTCTAGCAATCATTGACTTTTTAAATTTGAATCTTCTAATATACCTTTTTTTGAAGCAACTTTTTAGCTATAGTGATCATATGCTTTATAGCGTTTGGAAAGTAAGTCGTGATTCTTCGTGACTCTTCGGAAAGATCAATTAATCATTACACTCAATATTTTTATTTTCATAGTTCTATCTACTATACTATTAAATTTTTCCTGTAGATTCTTTAAAATTGATTCGAGTCACCTTCTTTATCGCTATTGTTAGAGTCATCGGAAGGAATATTAATAATTTCATATTCGTAATTTAAAAATAAAGATGAAACTAATTTGTTTAATAAAAATGCTTCTGAGAATAATAACGTCCTAAAAATTTGCATTTTTATGTAAAATTTAATACTAAATTCAATTCAGAAATAGAAAGTAAAAATTTTTCCATCGCTTTTCTTGGAAAATTGATTTAATGGTATTATGGTTCGTATGAGTGACGTGTAGGACACCTAATAAATTAATTTTTTTTAATTACTCCTAAAGGCAATGCCTCATTGGAAATATTTATTTTTTAAGTAAAATTTATTTGATAATCTAAATCCAAAAACGAACAATTCATGTGACATATTCCTCTTTTTTTACTGAAATATCTTATGTGTTTGGTGGTGATGTTAAGGATAAATCAATTTTTTAAAATTTTTGATTCTTATGTAGAATTTTTATTACTTATCGAAATCAAAAATATTATAACATATAAGAATATTTGTAGTAATTTCTTTGAAAATTTCTACAATGAACACATAGTACATCTGTGCTTGATATGTTTTGCGGGAGTAAAAAATGATAAAATTTAATAAATAATATGCCATCCTAAAAATTTTTATTTCTCAGTAAAATTTAAAACTAAATCTAAATAAAATATAAAAAATGAAAATTCTGGGAATACATTTGGTAAAATATTTTTTTTTTAAATATACCGGTTAATATTAGTACTTATATATAAACAATTTAATTGTTTAAACAATTTATTAAAAGCTCAATTTAATTACCTTTAAAACGCAACAAATTTCTAACATTTATAAAGTCTGAGATATGACCATTTGAAAATATGTCTACAATGCCAATTCTCAAAACCCCATGAGTCCATATCTCCTAGGAAAAAAACTATAAAATTTTTTCCCAAGATACGGGTCTTTTTATTATATGAAAAAAAATAAAATCCTAAAAAAATTTCAGCAAAATCAGATAAGATGAGGTCATTTCATGCCAAAATCCGTGCGGTTTGTAAAAGCACGAGCCATATACAATAAAGCACACTAAATAATATAAATAAAGGTAAAACTATAATTAATAAAATAATACCAATTTGTCTAAATGCTGACAATACTTTGATGATAACGAAACGTAAGAATTCTTTACTCAGGGTAACCATTAGACCATACAGTACAATTAAGACCTAATACTTAAAATAAAACCTATAAAAACAACTTGTGCTGACTATGTAAATAATACTGTATCCAATATCAAGTATCCAGTTAAAAATATCAGCGTGATATTAATTTCTTATAAAGACACACAGCTATATTTGATACATTACAAATTGCTAAAAAGATTATTATCACAATATTCACTTTTTTTAATACGACTACTGTCCAAGAAACTTTATCAAGCATAAGATCCATTTTATAAACAATTGTAAAAACGTGGGTCCTTAATAATGAAGATATAATTAGGAAAGACTGACAGTACAGAAGATAAATAACTCCGCACAAGTGCAAAATTTACTTTACAATGATGGGGTTATATTGCTATAGTAGCAATGTCGTTAAATATAGGAAAAAAGCATAGCTAAAAGTATAGGAATATAGGAAAAAAAAACCAGAAATGAGTATCCACCGTCAAGTCTTTCAATAAACACTTTAAAGACATATTGTTGCAAAAGCAATGGTTCATCAGAGAGTATAATCTAAGCAGCAAATTAATATGTAGCATAATATTCTATATATATTTCTAGTTTAGAGCGAAGTACTTATAGCATTTATTTAAAACTGTTAACTAAAAAGTTATAAAATGCCATCACATCTGATGTAAGACAAGATATAATCTTGTGTCTACATCACATAATCATGTTAAACTGCAAATGCATTTATAAAAATGAACGTTTCGTATATTGCAGTTTTAATAATGAAAATGAAATGACATAAACAATAACTACTAAAGTTAAAGTTTCATTTTAATAGTGACAAAAATGCACTATTCAGATTTTTTATTGACAAAGGTTGTAAATATTTCAATAGTTTCTATTATAAACACAACTTATTTGTTTATATCTATATTTCTATTTGAAATGTATATATTACATATAAATCATATAAATTTTTCTGCTATATAAATTTAATTATCTACACATAACATAATTAAAAAAATGTATGAAGCAAAAAACTAATCTTTTTAATTTGCGCAAGAGGAGAACACTATATATAAATTCAAAATAAAAGTTGACTTTATTAGCGGCTAATGAGCTCTGCAACTATAAAGTATAATATCAATAATTAGAACAATGACCCTTCATTTAATCCCCCCGCCTGCATTATATTTACTTTTTGAGAAGATGCACTGTCATAATAACTTGTCATGTAATAATATGTTACCAACACTTAAGCACTTTCAAACCCTATTAACAAAAGTTAAAATTTCTTGTCTTCTATTATTAGAGATTATCTGGCTTGTCATATCAAAAGCCATTAAATCTAAATTTGGTATGCAGACCTTCAATCACTAGACCGGAGCTCCGTCACCATCATGGCTCCATAAGCA